CCGCCATCGACAGGATCATTCCGGAACCGCAGCGAGCGCTCGCTGGTCTGCAGTCGTCGTAGTCGCCATCGTCGTCAAGGGTTGCCAGAAAATCGATCACAACACCACACAATCCACACGTTAATTGGAAAAATACAGTATTTAAGTTGATCCGCACTGTGTTTCAGTTCATTTGAAAGCTTGAGTGCCTTTTCGTCCGCGGAGGGGCTCTCCAGTTTGCCCAGTAGTGCGCCGACTCTAAGCCACAATTCAAGGAGTCTCGTGCTGCTGAGTTTTTGTCGGGCAGAACATTAGTTTCAGTACTCTTCTTTTCGTACGAATAACACCATAGCGTAGCTGTTCCGCTATCCCCGTGGTATAGTTGGGATCCATTTTGATGAAATTGTTGGTGTAACCTTCCGAATGTAATGTTGCATCAAAGGCAACCATCGGATATTTTTCACAATGATTTCATCATCGAAAGGTAGACATTCAGAAGAGACGGACTTAGTTTTGCTAAGTTTTAAGAGATTCACGATTCAGACAATACTTGAAGAATTTTTCGAAAGATCCTCAACACCGGTGGATACACATTTGTTATTTTAAAATCCTTGTATCACCAGTTTTATGTATGACACTTTCTCACTAGCTTCATTTGTGAGTAAACAATGCATTGAACCGAGTAGTAAGCCTTAGAAACGATTGACAAAACGTCCACACTCAACTATGGTTTGTGTCCAACTTGTCAAAGTGTGCCTTAATGTGCCGAACAGTGTGTCATGCTGTGTTTCGGAACAGTGTGCAGAGTTGAGTGCCCCTTGTAAAATAGACAATGTCGTATCATAAAAATGATTGCTGCGTTCCGTTGCGTTGCGTGTGTGAGGGAGCAATTCATAGATTGCATACTAGCAACTATCATGTATCATCTTTAACGTTCTTATTCTGATTGCTTAAGGAAAACTATTTGGGAGTGATCAAAGTTCAGAACATTTTTTTTTAAGCTTTATTAGAGAGATTTTTAGCCGTTGGCTAGTTCATCTCTAGGAAAGTTCAGAACAGGAAAAGCATGACAAATATAATTGCCGGCCACGCGCATGTTCTACTGGCGTGCACAGGGTGGGGCAAGGTGGGGCAATTGCCCCCTCTTTTATAAATAAGATTTTTATTTTCAAATTTTCAAAATTAGAATATAAAATAACTTGATTTCTTGATAACTTGATTTGAAGGTAAAATAACTTCATTGCATAATGTAAGGGCACTGAAAACCTTTTATTGCGTCAATTCCTTTGAGATGGTGCCTGAAAATTGCACCACAAAGGTGCATGAAGGGACAAACTTCAATGACATTTTTTGGTCAAAAATTGCACCGCAGTGGTGCATACAAAAAATCTTGGTGTAATTTTTTGGAGGGTTAAAAGAAAAGGGTAAATTTAAGGTTGAAAAAATTTACCTTCGTGGTGGTAAATCGAAGCGAAAACTTTTTACTGAATATTTCTGGTGTAAAAATATCATCAAGGTTTTTGTTCATGGAGGGACTAATCAAAATGAATAACTCTGGTGGAAATCACGCTAAAAATTTGGAGGTTGCACATTTGACTAAAAATTTCTGGTGGAAAGTTCACAACACTGTGGTGAATATAGAAGCAAGGTTTATTCATTTTTCTGCTACGTAATTTGCATCGTTCTGATGAATGCAAGCTTCATTGAAAATTTATGGTGGAAAACCTGCATGAAGAGGCAAAGCCTGAAAATTGCACCACAAAGGTGCATGATGATACAAACTTCACTGAAAATTTTTGGTGCACCGTTCTGGTGAATGGAGGACCATGATTTATTGAAAATTTTGGTGAAAAATTTGCATCGCTCTGATAAATGAAATGAACAGAAAATTTCTGGTGGAAAACTTGCGCTGATATGGAAAATGAAGGTACAAGTTTTATTTAAAATGAAGCTTCATTCTAAATTTCTGGTGGAAATTCTGCACCGTTCTGGTTAACGGACGGGCAAGCTTTTCGGAAAAAAATTGGTCCTAAAATTGCATCCCTCTGCTGAATAGAGAAACAAATTTTACTAATAATTTCTGGTGTAAAATTTGCACCATTCGGATGATTGGAGGGAAGCTGCTTTACTGAAAATTTATGATAAAAAATCCGAAAATAGGGCAAGCTTTATTTGGTGGAAAACCTGCAACATTCTGATGATGGGAGAAGCCAGCTATATTGAAAATGTCTGGTAGAAAATGGAAAAAGGAAATCTGCACGAATCAGAAGATTGGAGAAGCAATTTTTATTAACGGTGGAAAATTTACACCCTTCTGGTCAATTTAAATTTTCTGGTCTAAAATTACCTGGGGGCAAGTTTGTATTGAAAATTTCTGGTGTAAGATTTGCAACAATCTGCTGCATGGAGGGGCAAGCTGAATTGAAAATTCCTGATGTAAAAATTGTACAGTTCTGGTGAATGTGGGGGCAAGCTTTATTGAACATTTCTGGTTGAAAAAAATACAACGTTTTGGTGAATGGATGGGCAACTTAAACTTTACTTTCGAGAAGAACCTCAAGGGTATTGAATTCTGAGGACTGTTCCAAAAGAAAAGATTTCTTAAGATGATTCCATGAATATTCTGCGAATAATTTCTAGTAAATCCTGCAGATAGTTCCAAGATAATTCCGAAAAGAATACCGGATAAATTAAATTTTGAGTGAAACTTCAAAGAGATGTTGAGGAAAATTTCAAGGGAATTCCGAGGAACTCATTTCAAGATTTCTGGAGAATACAGAGGAAATTTTTCTGAAACTTTAGGGAAATTTCAGTTCCAAGGTGTTCTGAGAAAAAAAAAAGTTCAAAATATTCCGAGAAGAACCTCAAGGATATAGAATTCTTAGGACAGTTCTAAAATATTTCTGGGTAGTATTCCAAGAAAATTTTGATAATTAATTTCTAGTGAATCCTGCAGATAGTTCCAAGATAATTTTGAAAAGAATACCGAGAAAATAAAATTTTGATTGAAATTCCAAAGGGATTTTGAGGAAAATTTCTAGTGAGTACCGATAATTTCTAGCTCATTCCGGGAATAATTTCTGGATAATACTGAGGAAATTCTTCTGAAACTCTAAGGGAATTTCAGTTCCAAGGTGTTCTGAGTAAAAGTCAAGAAGCTTTTTAAAAATAATTCCAGAGGACTTCTGAGAAGAATTTCAATAGAGCTCATAGAGTCCTAACAATTTCGAAAAGACCCTCAAGGAATTCTGAGGATGGACTTTTTCGCAACTGTATAAAATTTAAAGACAGCTCTTGGATTCCCTAATTGAAAAGTGGGTATTAGTTTGCCATTGAACCTTGGTCTGTTGATGTCTTACTAAGAATTCGTCTAAGAATCTTCTCTGAAAATTTCAAGTCATTTGCTACCGTGGTTAAAAAGTTACAGCTGTTTATGTACGTTGCAATAAATTCGGGATTGTCCTTTGTATCATCTTTAAAACATGTTGAATGTTCGGCATCATTTCGTGTCACCCCGACTGGCGGTACTTTGGGCAGGGTTGACATGCACAAGTCGTAATTCCGTTAACAATCATGTACTCGCTTTTTTTCCAATAGTTACATATTTTTTATATCCTTTTTAATGATCCTAAACCTATAGCCTTGGAATTTAGGTCAAAATTTGAAAAAAAAAAATAGAGCTACAACTTTCGCTGAAAATGACCAATTTCTACGTACTCGCAACGGTAATAGTAAAGTGTAACTACAACAGCATATAAGGGCAAACAAAACCTTGAAATACTCAAAAAATAACTGTAACGATGCCTTCAAAATATACAAAAACGTACTGCATAAAATTTCAGAAAGGTAACTGAATAAAAGATGATGCCAGTACCTTGAAGAATATACTTTCTTTGGTTCATATTTTTAACCTGTAAAGAAGAGCATGCCGCAAAACATTATTACAACGATTCCTACAGGGTTCAGAAATTGGAAGAAAGCGACAGAGTTGCTGGGCAAACACAATCACAGTGATACCCATGTTGGTAGTATGGAAGCGTGGAAAAATTTCAAAACCAGGAAAGGTATCGACGAAGAACTGGACCACCAAAAACAACTATGATTGCTGCTAGCGGCTACAAAATCGCTATATAATGGAACGTTTCATCGATATTGTGCGCATACTTTGCAAAGGTGGCCGACCACTTCGTGGACAGTCGGAAGGAGCGGAAAGTGTGCCACCCAGTTGGTGGCTAACTACGATCCATTCCATTGGCTGTCTGAAAGGAGTTTGCATTGAAGAAAAATATAAAAAAATAAATAAAATTAGCTAAATTGAACAGTAGGGAAACAGCCGCCAAACTTGCCGAGCTCCGAATGATCCAATTTACTCCAGCCATGTGTGATAAAAACACTTGAAAGGATATGCACTTTGGGGGGACACTTGGCCAGCTCTGAGGACTACTCCAACGACGGTCTATAGTCGGGGAGATTAATTCGCACTCGCGATGATTTATATCCCTTTCCAGTTAAACGAAAACTATTTCAAGAAGCTTACCTATTAAAAATAAGCAGTGTGACAGCAACGAGCGAAAAAAATACGTCCGTGAAAACAAACACGTCCACCCACGAGCATAGCACACTTCGATCTTCTCATATGATTAAAATGATTGTATGTGAACAACTAATGTCGATGGCCTACATTTAGGCGTATTTTTAACTATTTTGCAACATCAGCGGCACAGGTGGTGTACTGGTGTGATTGCCTCTCACCCCAGCAGGCCTGGGTTCAATCCCAGTCGGTGCCACCGGGATGTTCTGAGGCATAACATCTTTGATCTGATCGCGTCGGTAGCCTTGGTGCTCAGCACGGAAAACAAGATCGACGGAAAATAAATCAAGGGAAAAAAATCTTCCTGTAGCCCGCTTATATGATTGTATGAATTATGTCATAAATTAAAAAAAAAAAACATTGAACTTGATAGCGATCCACTCTAAGATATTAGTAGGTAGTTCTAACTAAACGGTCCGTCAACTTTCAGGTGAATGCGAAATGCAGATCAACGAGAACATCAACCGACCGATGACGACGTGGCTTAAGCTGGTGGACTCAAGCCACAAGAAGAGCCAGCTTGGCGAGTTGATGTTCTCGCTTAGCTATCTGCCGACGGCCGAGCGACTAACGGTGGTGATCGTAAAAGCCCGAAACCTTAACCTCAAAAACCGGACCAACCGAACTAGGGGGCAGCAGCTAGTGCAGCAAAACGCTATCGATGATTCCGAACCGGCAGTCGACGATCTGATCGAGGTGGACTCCAGCGAGAGTATTTTCGTGAAGGTTCTTATTTTGTCTGGAAATTGTTGATTAAATTGGACTAATTTATGATGAGTTTTAGGTGTACCTGTTGAAGAACGATAAGAAAGTTTCCAAGAAGAAAACTGCCGTTAAGAGAGGCGAGCGATCGCCGATCTACAATGAGGCGATCATCTTCAGCGTTCCTCCGTACATGTTGAATTCGATTCAGATTCGTTTGTCGGTCGTGCAGATGATCAATAGGGATAGCAGCAGTACCAATACCATCAGCAGCAACAACAATAGCAACAATCTCATAAACCTGTATGACAATAGTACCAACAGTAGCAGCGGTAGCAGTTTGAATCGGAAGCCAAGTATCAAGCTGGTCTCGATTGGGCACGTAATTGTGGGAAGTGGAACCACTGGAAAGGGTTTGAGGCACTGGCATCAGATGTTGACTACACTGAGGAAGCCGGTGACCATGTGGCACGCATTGAAGACAACTTCCGAGCGGAAGCAGAGAAAGCTATCAGCAGAGCTGGAAAAGGACAGTGCTTAGACATATTGAAGCAGGGCAAAGCGATAGGCGTTACTATTTATGATAATAATGGTAATACAGTAATAAATTGAAAATGTTATAATGAGAAACACCTAGCTAATAATCAGTTGAAGATTAACAGAGAAGTATTATAAACAACCGTTAGTTAAGTAAACAGAAGTAAATTTCGTATATACCAAATTTTTCATCGTCGCCAAAGGTAATATATACATTGAATTAAACTCACATTACTATACGATTTCCGCAAACTGGCGGAAAATTAGGGAAAATCATACTTCAAAACTATTCTAAGTAAACAATACCACAAAAAAACAACAACCATAAAACACACACAAGCAAACCAATGACAACTATTCTAACAAAACTGTTGACTTTATTCTACCGAAACGGAATTAACTTTCACAGCAACTATCATTAAACATTCAATCGAACAAAAAATCACATCACAAGTATTATACCGTTTTTCTTAAGGATTTGATATAATAAAGTACTCTGAAATTCTTTTTTTTTCTGCCACTGTTTCTAAAAAAATCGCTCTTCACCACTTTAATTACCGATCACGACCAAATCCAAGCAAGCTCCGCCCCCGTATGGCTTCCATCTGGCAGAGCAAAGCACACTGCGATCAACCAATCACAACGCTTCCATTCCCAAACTGACAGCATTTTTCTTCTTTCTGCTCTCTCTCTCTCTCCCGCTCTCCGTCGTGTTCTGGTGGTGGCACAAAAATTGTAGCAATCTTCCGCCACGCGATTTCAATAATCCTCATCTCGTCTTACCGTTCGGATGCGTGGGGGAGTTTCGCGCGAGCTCTAGAGCGCTAATCAGTCAATCAGTCACCGAAGAAGAAGTAACCATGATGGATCGTCTTCCTCCGGTACATTTCGCGGTTCGTGACGATGACAATGGCGGCGGTTGTAGTTCGCCGGAGCCGCCGTCGTCTTCGATTCCGACGACGGTTAGACAGCATCTGCGGACGCCCAAGTGCGCCCGCTGCCGCAATCATGGTGTGATATCGTGCCTTCGGGGACACAAGAAACTGTGCCGGTGGCGTGAGTGTTGTTGTCAAAGTTGTTTGCTGGTGGTTCAGCGCCAAAGGATTATGGCCGCACAGGTGGCACTGCGGAGGCAGCAGCAGCAACAGGTGGCCCTCGGAGGTTCCAGTGGTGGACAAGGAAGTGAACCGTCCGTGGTGGGAGGGAAAGTGCTGAACATGGAGGAGTTAATTATTCAGAAGCAGATCTACAGCCAACAGTTGAAGGGGGTGCAGCGATCGAAGATGGCCAGCAGGAATATAATTTACGGTGAGTTGGATTTTGGTTTTTCCATTTTGTGAAATCGATTGTATTGGTGCTTGCAACTAAAGCTGGGCTGCTTTGAAATTAAAACAGTATGACAAAAGTGGACGATTACCGAAAACAACAAAATGATTTAACGTAAACGTGCACTGTCCATAATCGCATAACTGTCCACTTTGAATGGGAAATCAAGCAAAGATGGGACTGATATGAGAATTATGGGCAGTGCACTGTTATCACACTTTTCAATAAGTGAAAACACGCTTATTTGTCGCAATAAAAAGATTTAGAAGTAGAGGTCATGGAAACGTTTTGGGGGGGGGTTATTTTGTTTTCAAAAAATTATGAGGGAGAAAGTCAGTTACGATGGACACAACAAGAAAGATGGACACTTGCTGCTTTAAATCAAAAAATCTTTATGGAATAATTTTAGCACTGCCTACTGTTAACAGCTTTTAACATGAAACAACCTCTTCATTTAGTTTCTGCAACCCAAGTTTTCCGGAGATCTCGGCAATCATTAAATCTATTGCTGTCATTTATTGAAAAAAAAATCCCCTACGTGATAGTGCGTGGGTGAATTACCAGTTACGCCAAACCCACGAACAAATGCATTGTTTACAAAAGTAGATACGTCCCTTAGAAAAAGTAATCGAGAATTCAAGACCAACAATTGAAATGGCCTCAACTCCCTTTTGTAAACCAAAGTCCGCCAACGCAAACCAACAAAAGGAACAAGTGCCTACGGAAATTTCTCCTCTACCCGAGTGTGTGTTAGGTTTGCGAATGTAGCTTGCGGTTCGCGAGAAAATGGCTTGATTTATACCAACAAACTGAAAGCAACTGAACTTCTCAAAATTGTAAACAACGTGAAACATCGTCAAAAGGTGGCCAATATTGGAGCGTTACCCCTATTTAAAAAATAAAAAGAACTCCTATATCAAGTTAATTTTCCGTATACATTTGAATGCAAATCATAAATAATAAATCATATTGCCAAGCAGAGCACGACTAGCGGTTTCCAGAAAACAAAGCAATAAATTCAAAATTATTCTAGCTTAGACTCTATTTTCTCGAGGTTCTAGAAGACAATTGACCACTTTGTCACGCAGTTTTGGCGTGACTTTCTACCAGCAATTTCACAAAACTGGACCAACTAATTTCTATTTTTTATTAAACGCACAAATGTGGGCTGCTTTTTTCGTGGTTCTAGAATAAAAAGTCTCAAAATAATGTTTATTTCAAATTTCCAGTGTTAGTAAACGTCATTTTAACTGCTCGAATAAAGTGGTTAATTTTCAAAATTTTGTTCCACGGCAAACTGCTTGATTGATGTGATCTATTACTAACTCCAAAACGGACCCTTTTGATCACTTTTTCGCGGTACGTTACCGGATGTAAGATCTACCACTGAATCCTAGTCCTAACTGCATCAAACTAGGGGAACAGGATTTTTCAGTGACAAGACTCGGCTTTGTCCACCGAGGATGATCTTGAAACAAGGAAAAAATAGTTAGTCTTCATCTATGTGATTCCTACACACTTAGAAAAATTAATGTAAATTTAGGTGCTCTGACACTGACATATACGAGCGTCAATTTTGACATAAAATTGAGTCATAATAGACGCGAAATTCAGCTCAATCAAACGTACTTTTCGTCGAGTACCGAACTTTTTAGTCTCGGAGCCCTTCATATAACCGTATGCGTGATAATGTTTGCACCATTGAGCAATGCCAAAATTAAAAAAATTCTAAAAAATTTCGTTTCCGAGTTTTTTATTTATTCAAAGGGGGAAGAGTCTTAACTATGTTAATCATCGATCGAGTTTCCACTTGCTGCAATTACGGCCTCCACACACTTCCGGAATGTACGGCAGGTTCTAATAATGTAGTCTGGATCCATTTCTCTCCAGGTACGGGTCAATGTTTGTCTGAGGCTTGCTGTACTCGGGTGGCGTTTAGAACAGGCTTTGGCCTTCATGACGCGCCATATTGAGTAATCCAGCGGATTAAGATCGGTGCTGGATGGCGGCCACATATCCTTCGCCCAGAACGGAAGATGTTCCTGCAACCACTTCTGAGTGCGGTTCGAGGTGTGGCACGGAGCCCCATCTTGTTGAAATACAACATTTGGCTTCGGTCCGTACTGTTCTTTGATCCACGGAAGAACATACTTACTTAAAATCCTGATGTAGACCTCCGTCATCGTCATCGGAAGCCACCAATCCAAACACCATAACGCTAGCAGGATGCTTGGTCAGATACACGTTCTTGTGCTCATTGGCCACGTCTTTTACCGGAAGAGAATTAATATACCGGTCGGTTCTGGAATTTGATACCGGATCGACGGTAAACATGCTCTCGTCGGTGAACAGGATTACCTGATTTTTTCGCCTGATCTTCCGTGCCGTAAATTCACTGATCCCGTGTTCCTTTGCCATTTTCCTTATTGAACACACTGGATTCACCCGAATCTTCCTTTTGAACCCGAGCTGACCTCGGACGACTTGTGGCCACCTTCGCGGATAGTTGTCCTTTCTTTTCTCGGTCTAAAACCCTTTTGACGGTCCACCGGGACACTCCCACGGTCTTTTTGCGACATTTGCGCATTGGACAAATCACGAATACGCTGCCACTTTGTCATGGTGCAACTGTCAGACTAAGTAAATCATTTTCTTTTATACACAGCCTACTACCAACAATCAATTCGAAACTAACGATTTTAAATTGGCTCACTACTTGACTAGCCTGTTGGTCCCAAGCAAATCGATTAACGTATCCCATTCTAGTATAAATTCCAGTACTATACTATGTTTGTTTTGAATCGCTATGAAAGTTTGACAGATAAAATGAGGGGTTCGTGGATTTTCCTATGTTTCGAGGGGTGCATCGATTAGCTTGGGACCGAAGATAGTACCAGAGCTGAGCCAAAAAGTTGAGCTCATTTCTTCGGGACCTTCTGGTCTTAGAGTTACCTCTATGCTACTACGGTATGAGCTATAGGTTACGTGCATGCAAAGAAAACCAAGGCATTGCACAATGGTCCCAAAGCCGTATTTAGGAAGACAAAAATGTTTGCACTAAAACCGTTGATTTTAGGCATATGGTGTATTGCGAAAAGTTTCTTCATATCTTTGGCCAATTTTTTTATGTTAGTGAAATTAGGGTGGTTCATAAAATTGGTGAATTGAAAATGTGAACTTTTTTATTATGTGAGATAGATCAGTGCAATGTTCTAGAAAGTTGCAGAACAATCAATTTGCGGCACTTTTGCTCAAGCCATCAAACTTCCATCTCTTATGGTTCATGAGTTATGATTTTTTTTTAAACAAGCATGTTAGGGTGGCCCCTGAAAAATTGGTTTTCTATGAATATCTTTTCATACGTTCAAGGTTGCAAAGACTCATTTCAGCTAAAACAATGTTTTTCTAAATTATGAAATAATTAGATGCCATGATCAAATTTTGAATTGGTAGGATACAAGAAGAGGTTGCAAAGAATGTGTTTGACATATTTCACTTCATGAGAGTCACAATCAGCGATTTTTCACAAACTCACTCACTCACTCACTCACTCACTCAGCGATCAGCAAATGGCTGATTGTGACTCATAGAAAGCAAAATTTACAGGTTTTATGTTTCCAACGCATACTTTGTAACCTATTCTTGTAAGTTACAAGTAAAACATGCCATCATACCATCTTTTGGTTTTATTATTCCGAAAAACATTATTTTAGCTGAAATGAGTCTTTGCAACCTTGCATACGTTCATTTATCGTAAAAGAAATGTTCTAGACACTTTTAGAACTTTCAATGGCAAATATGTTTGCTGAAGCAACCAAGTTGCTATCTTTTTTTATTGGAAAGTTAAAGGCGATTTTCTTCAAAAAAAACTGGCATTTTTCAATTGTCAATATCTCTAAAAGGAGCAAACCGATTTTCAAGTTTTTAATTCCATTTGAAAGATCATTATTTTGTTCATTTACTGTGGGAAAACTGCGATTTATGTTTAAAGCATTTGATTTAATTTAAAAAAAAAATCATATTTTTATGCAAAAAACTGCCATAACTCTTCAAACAAAGGAGATAGTATCTTAATTGCTTCGGCAAAATTGTGCGCCATCAAAAGTTCTAAATGTGTCTAGAACAAAGTTTTTGCGAGAAATCAGTGTATTACAACATTTTTGCTTCTAACACCAGCAAGCTGTCTGTTGGCCCAGACCTTATATAAATGTCATTGTGTTTACGTATGCCAAAGATGGATTCTATCTCGTGTAAAAAAAGTTATTTTTAAGTGTGTAAGCTCAGGTGACTCGCGCATTACAGAAGGAAGCAGCTGATCCTGGCGAAGCCATGGATGTCCATTTATAACCCGCTATAAGCTGAGATTCAGCTAACAAATGGGAATTTTGCCGAGATCTCAGCTAACAAACATAATTTTTTGCTGAATCTCGGCAAGTTTTTCACTGAGATCCAGCAAAATAAAATGCTGAGCTACTGGTCGGTGCTGCCCATCTCGGTAAAAAAAATCTAAGTGTGTAGGGACATCCCACTCTAAACTTTGTATTTCTCTTGACATACCTATAGATACCTGGAAATATTTAAAAATATTTAAGAAATATGGGAAATGGCCTATGGATGTAAGATTGGGTCCATCGCTAAAAATCTGTTATTTATCAATTTTATCTAGATGAACGCGTCATTGGGACGGTACTAATGGATATTTTTGGTCGCTATTTGAAATTTAGTCTATTACTGAATTTATATATGGGCCCAAATTAGGGGCATTTAGGCCGAAATTACATCCATTCCTCCTACTTAAAAAATACCTAGCGATAGTTTATTTCCTTGGTTGCTATAGACAAATTTCAGTTGTTCATGTTTACGACGGAAGGGATTTTGCGTGGAATTTTATAAACTTCATACGATATTAACATTTATTCAATTAACAGTACTGCATCCAGTGTGACTGATTTACCCAGTCCCAGAAGGGAGCATGAACGTCG